ATTAGTAGTTCAAATTTATGTTGATGATATAATATTTGGTTCTACTAATGATGTTCTTTGCCAAGAATTTTCTAAGCTAATGCAAAGTGAGTTTGAGATGAGCATGATGGGGGAGCTCTCATTTTTCTTGGGACTCCAAATCAAGCAAAGAAAAGATGGCATCTTCATCAATCGAGCTAAGTACGTCAAAGATATGCTCAAGAAGTTTGGACTGGAAAATGGGAAACCTCATGACACTCCAATGAGCTCTTCAACAAAGCTTGACTTAGATGAAGGAGGTAAATGTGTAGATGTTAAATTATATAGGTCAATGATTGGATCTCTACTTTATCTAACTACAAGTAGACCGGACATTATGTTTAGTGTTTGCTTATGTGCTAGATTTCAATCATGTCCTAAGGAATCACATTTACTAGCTGTTAAGAGAATCTTTAGATACCTTAAGGACACTCCTAGTTTAGGACTTTGGTATCCTAGAGACTCTAGCTTTAGCTTGCATGCTTTTTCTGATGCGGATTATGGAGGATGCAAATTAGATAGGAAAAGCACCTCCGGTACTTACCAATTCCTTGGAAATATGCTAATTTCTTGGTTTTGAAAGAAACAAAATTGTGTTGCATTATCTACCATTGAAGCCGAATACATTTCAGCTGGTAGTTGCTGTGCACAAGTTTTATGGATGAAACAACAACTTTTTGATTATGGAATTGAAGTAGGTACCATTCCTATCAAGTGTGACAATACTAGTGCTATTTGTCTCACTAAAAATCCCATCCAACACTCTAGAACTAAGCACATTGAAATAAGACATCACTTTATTAGAGACCATGTCACTAAGGAAGAAGTAGTTCTAGAATTTGTTGATACTTTGCACCAATTAGCAGATATCTTTACAAAACCTTTAGACAAGGAACGATTTTGGACACTTAGGAGAGAATTAGGTTTGACCAACCTATCTTCACTGAGTGTTTAAAATAATTTTAGCACTTTTAATAATAAATGAAAAATGCTTATAATAGTAATTTTTGATTGCATTCATTGCTATTAGTTAGGGGGAGTTTATGATTCTTGATGAAAAATTAATTTTATGTTCAAATATCGTTTAAAGATTAATTGAATTGTTTGAACATGATTAATTTTCAATATATGAGTTGCCAATACCACTAGAGTAAATTAATTTAGCATTTTGGGTGTTTAAAATCGGATTTTAGCATTTTGGTGCAGAGGGAATCGATCCCCCCTTGAGGGAACCGATTCCCCCTTTGAAGGGGAACCGATTCCCCCCACAGGGGAATCGATACCCCCTGGGGTTCTGGTTAAACACGGGCAGAACCCTTATTTTTGTTCAAAAACCTTTTCTCTCTTCCGCCGTTCCCTTTAAACACCCTCCCTATCTTCATTCTTGCCTCAAATCATCGATTTTAATCGGAATTCACTTCAAATATCATCTCCTAAACTTACAATCATCATTAAAATCCTGTAAACAACATCAAAATCCACTCAATCTCATCCTTTGAGGTAAAATTTTCTAAACTCCCTATTTTATTAATTTTGAACATAGGACTTGTTTTAATTAGTTCTAGGATGAACTTTAGATCGGGCATTGATTGTTTAGTGATTAGAAACTAGATATTACAACCAATTTCATCTAAAACACAAGAATTTTCCAAATTTTTTAAATTTTTGAAATTTTAAAAAATGTTAATTTTCAAATTATTGTGTTATGATTAAATTATGTTGTTGTTATGAAAACTATACATATATTGTTTCTCAAAACCATATTTTTCAAAAGTTTTTCAAAAACTTTACCCATTAGGATTGATTTAGAGAATCTTGAAATATTGAGGACTCAATTGAGTTTTGGATTGATTGAATTGCATACATGGGTTTTCTAAATTGCAGGTTATCAATTCTATTATGATTTCCTAAACCATGTCCAATCCTAAACGTGCTAGGTCATCATCTAGTCGCTCACACCGTCAACCAAATCCACCTCCAAATCCTCCTCATATTCCAATTTCTAATCCTAATCCCATTGATCCTAACTTGACTATTTAAAATTCGTGTTTCAATCATCCTGGTCCTAGAAATCATCGTTTTTGGTATTATCAATATTTTGACTCTTACAAAATCCGGGAAGAACGTATTCCTTCTCGTCAAGCTATGTTAGCTATCAATTTTAAATATCTTCCTCTTTTACAAGAGTGGAAATTTGATAAACTCTTTGACCTTGAACCCATCGTTTACCATCAACTTATTCGTATTTTCTATTCTAATGCCGTTTGTGTTAAAAACCAAACCGAAACCATAGGAATTCGTTCCTACCTCCTAGGACAATTCTTATATATTGACTCAGCTTACATAGCCAATACATTCGGACTAGATAATGATGGTATTTCAAATGAAAAACTGGTTTTAGGATCTCGTTATAAAAGAAGGGATAGTGCAAGTGTCTTAGACCTTCATGAACGTTTTCTTCATCTAATGATTTCTTGGTGGTTTCGACCATCCGGAGGTCGTTATTCTACTCTTAGAGCCTTAGATCTTTGGTGGTTACATTGTTTCGAAAACAATATTAAAATTAACCTACCTCAGATTATTTTTGTTGAAATTGTTGAAACCGTAAATCTTGTTACTAATAAGAAACTGTTCATCTCTTGTTTACGGTTGCATTTTGAGTAATTTGTTTTCCAAAGCTGGGCTTAGAGTCGGTCTAGATGCCATTTTTCCCCTTAAGAAACAAATTAACCTTCTTTCCTTAACGAGAGCGGGATGGATTAAGGATAAGGAAACCGGTGAATGGGTTCGATCTTCTGCAAATACTCCGGGAGTTAGTTCTTCACAAGCTCCACCCGAAGCTGACGAAGATCTCGAGCTTGAGCAATTAATGCGAGACATCGATGAAGCCGAAGATGAGCTTGAGCAGCCCGAGGAGCAGCCCGGAGAGCAAGCACAACAAACGCATCAAATGCCTCCATATTTCCAATCCTTTATGGAGACATTCGATTTTCGATACGCTACCATGGATTCAAGCTTTTCTTCTATAGAGTCCCACTTATCCACAATGAGAGCTCAACAATTAGAAATTCTTCGGGAGATGCGCGCAAACAATGAAGCAACCAACGCGCGTATTAATGACCTCACTCACGAAATGGCCGCTATGCGAGCTCGCTTTCCTCCTCCTGATCCTGATATGTGATTCTATGTTTTGCTTTGAACTCAAAACTTATTGTTTTAGCATTTTGAATATTTTGGAATGTTTGAATTTGTGGATTGATTGACTTTGAATTTGTTTGGATTTATGAATGGTTAGAAATTATCTATTTGGTGTGATTAAATTTATTCATTATTGCATCATTTACTTCATGATTAGATATATGACCAATTTTGCCATTTCACATTAATTATGAATATTGATTATGAAACTGATGGCTAACGTTTCTCTTGCTTGTGATCTTAGCAGCTTATATTATATATAATCAATTGGCTAAATGATTTCAAAACCTTGTTTAAATTCTTTAAAATGTCTTTTTGATTTAACAAAAAGGGGGAGAAGTTAAATGTGTTTTAAATGATAAATGGGAGAAGTGTTAGTGTTAAAGTAAAGGTGAGTAATTTCAAAACTTGATTTCAAAATCTTAAAATTACTAAAATGTTTTTTTATATCAAAAAGGGGGGATTGTTGAAAACATTTTGATATTTCGATATAACAAATTAAGTTAAATGAATTTTAAGATTTTCCAAATGATTTTCTAAGTATATTCGATAGAATTATTCGAATATCAAAACATTACTCCAAATCTTTCAAAGATTCATTTTTAATCCTTACTCAAAGTGTAAAATTAAGTTTTAATCTTAAAACAATTTTAAAATAATTTTACAAAGTATTTCGAACCATTTCAAAGTCAAAAATTCCAGATTGCTCAGAGGGAACCAATTCCCCCCAAGGGGGTACCGATTCCCCCTGAATGGTTTGGCTCCGAGAATTCCAGTATGCTCGGAGGGAACCGATTCCCCCCCAGGGGGTACCGATTCCCCCCTTGTATAACGGTCGAAATATTTGAATTTTACACTTAGGGAACCAATTCCCCATGGGGGTACCAATTCCCCCCACGCTCCAAACTGTTTTATTAATTATTTTCACACTAAAACGGCTATATTATTTTCTCTAATCATCCCCAACGTTCATAAGTGATTCAAGGTGTATTTAAGCAAGCTTAGAAGCCATTGATCAATAACAAGAAACATCAAGCAATTAGAATAAAGAGAGAATCAAAGAGAAAGCATCAAACCTCAAGTTTGAGCATTTCAAGCCTATTTTTTATTCAATATTCATTTTGCTTTCAAATAACACTTATTGTGCTCAATTGTATTTATTCTTGAGTGTTCTTTCTTTACTCTAGAATTGTGCAAATATATTTGCCTTGTGAGGTTTTTCTTGTAAGTTTGCAAATTTGTATTTCTCTTTGAGAAAAGAGTGTTCTCAAAAATTGGGGTATATTCTTGAGGGAGTTGTAAGGTTATCTCTTTGGCCTCAAAAGAAAGAACAAATTAGTGAATTTGTTGGAAAATCCTTAGTGTGGATAGTTAAGGTAATGGACGTAGACTTTGGTTGATAAAGTCGAACCACTCTAAATCGCTGTGCAATTTCTTTCAATTTTCTGCAAAAGCTTCCACAAAAAATTTTATTGCCAATTCACCCCCCTCTTGGCCGATTCAGTCAATCGATTAACTCAACAGTTGATGACACATATACATATTTCAAAACTACGTAGTTTTGGGATTTCTAGAGGGGAGGCAGGCAAATCTCAACTTTAGTCCTCCATTTTAGGTAAGAATGTGATCTTATCCCCATATTTTAATATATTTTTATATATATAGCTCAATAGTTTAGACTAATTCGATTTAGTCCAAAATTTTGATAAATTAAGTATTCATTCAATCCTAAGTCCTTGATTTTTAGCGAATAAGACCCTCATTTATTAATTAGTTCTAACAAGTTATCTTTATGGCAAGGGAAAATTAATTGGATTCAAGTTCGATGGAGATCAGATAAGGTTTAAATAGTCGATTAATATAGCTCGAAAATTCAAGGTAATACTCTACTACCTTTTATATGCTTTACATAACTCATTGATTATTAGTGAATGCATGAATGATAATGATTGGTTAAGTGATTATCGATGATTACTCGAGAACCACTATTGCATGTCGTAAAAGGTAGTACATTTAATAAGATTTAGATAACCAGTTTAAAGAACTAGAAGGTCGATAATAAATAAATCTAAGTTCAGTGATTGAACATATAAAATTAATTAATCTTAGGATATGTAAATCCAAATTGTTTTCGTTAAAAGTTTTATTGTCGAGGAGGCTCGTATAAAAAATCATTATGAAAATACCCTAAAAAGTAAAATTACGATAATACCCCTGTGCCGTTAAAAGTCCAGGATTGTTCCTGAAAATGGAAAATAACCATGAAAAGACACTCTTGATCCAAATTAAACTACTCAAGCACTTGTTAAGTACTTGTCTTGTCTATAAAAATCTAGATAACTGATATTAACATCTGAGGTGACAAAAGACTTAGAGATTTGGAATACATAATACGTTGATCTCATAGTTTATGAAGGATCATTTGTAGACTAAATTGCTAAAAGTGTGACATGTCACTAAAGTATTTTAAATAAATGGATTATTTTTTAGTTTTGAAATGACCAAGATGCCCTTGAACCTCCAAAATGTCCAAAATACCCCCAAGTCCTATAATGATCTAAATACCCTCATGACTTGGATTAAGCAAATGCCTTTGGATAATTTTTGAAGATACTAGTGAAACTTTAAATGCTATAATGCCCTTTAGGTTTATAGAGTACGACATAAGTAGGTCGATCATCCCTAATATTATTACAATATGAGAAGTAAATAAATACCGCTTAAATACATGTTCGTCTCCTCATGATTCGTCCAGAGATGGTTTCTAAAGGTGATCAGTTCGATTCTGCTGTAATACTAGTTTTAAGAAATGATTATTCGTGAAGTTTCTTTACCTACATAACTAATAAGTGTCGCCTTTGCTGGAATTGTACAGTGCAATTGGAATTGAAAACCTGTTAAGATGCATGAAATTTAGAATTCGATAAATCACTGCATACCTTTACTAAACTAATTTATCAAACTTCTCAGGAATCGAATGACTAAAATGCCCTTATAAGATTGATTGATGGATTCACTTTAGGAATGTTTGAATCCTAAATAAATTTTGATGTAATATTCCTGAATACCTTGCTGATATATATACTATGATCTTAATAAATCACTTCCCGAATGACTAATGAATCAGTTAGCTATCAAACCCTATTTTTTATAGGGATCTTGATTATGAAATCTTATCAATTTACAAAGTTTCATGATTCCTATTTGATAAATACCATGCACCTCCAGAAAATAATTGGATCCTCTAGTATGTTCCTTATGTACTACATGACTGTTTTATCTGTTTTGAAATGTATTTTCACTGAAATTATGATTTACTGATTTATTGGCTTATGAACTATGACTACATGGTATGTTTTCTATGATTATCTGTTTTCATTGGAAAATATAACCGTTCCTGATTTATGGATCATGGGATCTACTGGTTACTACTTGAACTATTTTATTTTGACATCATCTGGGTAGGCTGGAGTATGGAGGTTCAGCTCTAATCAAGCTGGTAAATCCTTACAGACCTAAGGTGACCATTGGGTAGGCTTCGAGGCCCCGCTAAACTTTCTTGGGTAGGCTCTCAGGCCCCAAGGCACTCGGTTGGGTAAATCATGGGACTGCATATGGTGTACGGGTATAGGGCAATTATGTGGTTTATTTCATTGTCACTCTTAGGAGATTTTACTGGATCACAATCCTAATATTACAATTTACTATTAAATATGATTTCTACTAGATATTGTATGGGTAGGATTCTGGAGTATGGAAGTTCAGCTCTGATCAAGCTGGTAAATGCTTACGGACCTAAGGAGACCCTTCGGTAGGCCCATTGTAACACCCCCAACCCGTATCTGACCCGGATACGAATCCGAGGTGTCACATTGACTTTTCAAATCATTTACTTTTACAAGATACTAAAAATTCAATTTCACATTTAAAATAAAATCCAAATAATTTGTATTAAAAAAACATATAGTTTTACAAAACCTATCAGAGCATATCTGATTCAAATCTTTAAATTTCATGCCAACTATTTTAATTAAACAAAATAACATATTGTATACATTGTTTCTGATCTGATCTTCTCGTAGGGATATGTTGTCTTGTCGGATCTTAACTTTGCTCTTCCTGTTTCTCTAAAGCATCGTGTGAAACACTCACACGCTAAGTTAAGGACTTAGTGAGGCATAAAATGCATAAATGACATATTGAAACATGTAATCATATACTTTCATAACATACATATAATCAATATGAATATCTTAATTCGAAACACTATTAATCAATCTTATATAAAATAAGCTATACAAAGTATTTAATTCACCATTTCTATATGAATAGTAGCGGTACCCAAGGTACAATACCGATACTTCCTTAATGTGGTATCAATACTATAATTTAGTATTGATACCCTTTTTACATACTATAATTTGGCTCTAAAAATGGTACCAATACTTAAACATTGGTATCGATACCCCTAGTATCGATATTACTCCTTCAGTATCGATACTTCTTAAAGATTTCATCCGCTTTTACCTTATGGTATCAATATTGTTCATCCAATATTGATACCCAAACCAAGATCTCATATCTTTGCCTTGAAGTATCGGTATTGTTCTTCCAGTACCGATACCCCTTGCCTAGAATTTTCTCATTTTACCCGAAAATTTTCCAAAACTTTGCTAGTTTCCACACTTTACTCTCTTTTCAAGCCTTTAAACTCAATTAAACTTATCCAAATAAACTTATATCCCTTTAACACATCTAAATATCCAATATCTCATTAGAACACTTGAAACTAAAAATCTTACCAAAAATTCAACTTTGTTATTAATCCTATTTAACCTCTTTAGTCTCTTATTCTAACTGATGACAAGTCAAATATGACTTCTAAATTCATTTACAAACTCTCTCAATAATTCACTTAAAAACCCTTATATTCAATCTCTTATAACTTGCAAATCTTTTAGTTTTTACTTCTCTTTAAACTTCCTTAAGCTTTATTAACACTTCAAGAATCAAAACCAACTTAAAAATGAAAGGAAACATTAACTTGAGATCCTCTTACCATACCAATGTAGTCACGGGAAGAGAAGAAGAAGAAGAGAGGTAAACCAAAATCTCTAGATTTTTATTTTCCCTAACTTTCCTTTTCCCACGTGGATATATATAACACCAAACAATGATTTTTTAATTATTTTCTTGTCTAAAGACCATTATTCCCTTTCAGTTTTCAAACTTTAATATTCAATCCTATAAAAAGATATTCCAATTAAGTCCCTAAACTTTTAAATTTTTAAAATTTAAGCACAAAGTTTCCAAAACTTATATTTTAGTCACTAGCCCAGTTTTTGGGATGTTACAATTCTCTCCCCCTTAAGAAAATTCGACCTTAAATTTTCACTGCACAAAGAGATGGGGAAATTGTCTACGCACATCTTATTCGCATTCCCATGTTGCTTCCACTACCTTATGATTCTTCCACAAAATTTGACCAACGAAATATTACATTCTTTAACTATTTAACTTCATATGTCAAAATTTTACGTCGATTCTTCCTCATAGATCAAATCAGATTAAATCTATATTTCTTCCGATGCTATGATGCGACAAAAGATCTATTCAATGTCTCTTAAGTATCGAAAATGAAAATATTGTTAACCTTTTCCATTCTGACTATAATAGTCCATGATATACCACTAGTCCACCTCTTTTTAAGATCTTATAAAGTTAAATGAATTTAGGACTGAGCTATTCTATACAGTGAATATTCTTAGAAAACAAAACATTGAGAAATACTTTATCACATACTTAGAAGATCTATTTTCTTCCTCTTCAAATATGTGCAGAACTTTTGTTAATTATCAACTATATTAAAATTATCTTAATTAATCTTCACTTTTCTTCATCTTCTTAGATCCAAATGTGTCAGTACAAATTCTCACTATTTCAATTCAAACCAACTTAATAATGTCCAACATTTCTTTTACTTAAAACTCCATGATAACTCTTTATGTGGCAATGATAACACTCACTCGGTTTTATATCTTTAGTTTTCCCTTTTTCTTACCTATTTTATGCTTAACCCATAAAAACTTTTCATCTTTCTCTCAAGATCCTTAAATTAATCCAGTAACAAAGGCTTTCATTAATTTTTCAATTCAAAACACTATTTATCTAAGAAAAGGCAATTACGTATTCATAAATCTTAAAAATAGAAATGTCTTTCACCTTTGGAACATTAGTCATTACTCTAACCTTTCGTGGTTGCAATTAATAAACTTATCTTCAATTTCTAAGGAACTCCATCCATTCCTATCTTTTCACTTCTTCGATTTTACACTTACTTTTAATCATTAGAAATCCATATAAATATAATATTACACATCATACAGATAATAATGTTCTATCAATACGGTAACCTCAATCATTTCCAACTCAAAATCATGAGTCATTTGATTTATTTCATCATTCTCTAATTGTTTTGCAATCTCAACTAAGCATTTAGTCTTATACCATCTTCATCTGAATTACAATACACATATTTTTTTATAATCTCAAAAGTAACATGTTTATCTTTAACACCTTAATCAGAGAAAAATATAATCCTTATCTCTTTGACTACATTTACATTGCCAAGAAACACATCCTTAAACAAATCTATGTCACACTTAGTTAACTTATTCTGGTATTTTTCTTCCGATCTTTTAAATTGTATTCCACTCACCCTTACATAACCTTTTTAAAACCTGAATAATCTGCTTAAACTAACTATCTGTCTATGCATAGATATAAATACTACAACAAATTTGAATTCCTGAGACCTTGTTCAAGATTTCCACAACTTTGAGGTAACCTTA